CGTTTGCAGAATGGGACTTTTGGCAGGCTCAGCAGGGCAGAGACAGCCTTGACAATTCCTATTGGCTTTTGAAAGCCAATAGAATTAGATTCTATTCAAGAGAGTCTATTCTATTGGCTTTCAAAAGCCAATAAAAATAAAAGGGAGTAGCACAGCTAAGAAAAAGGGGAAAAAAATGGCGGACTGCATTGTTTGGCGACCCCTGTGAAATGGTCGTTCGACCCCAAATGGGGTCCCGACCCACCGGTTGAGAACCACTGCTCTAAGTAATCTCTTTGGTGATGTTGGAGACTGAGCCTTCCACATTTCTGCTACTGGATAGCCCAGGCTCTCTATTTAAGCTGGGAAGAAAACCTTTCTTGTTTCTCCTCCTTTTGTGTGGAGAAACTATATCCCAGGATCCCAATATTATGCTATGATTTCATCATTTAATTGTTTTTTAAACTATTTACTCTATGGAGATTCTCAGTCATCCAGGTCATATTTCCCAAAGATGCTTTTTCAAAAGGCAACTGGACTTCATTCACTCTATTCTCTGCCACAATATAAAATGCCTAAGTAAATAGGAGACTGATTCAACTTTCAAGAAGCTAGATCGAACACTTAAAAAAATAGTGATAGCAATATCAAAAATAATATTAGATTTATATACCACCCCATAGTGCTTTACAGCACTCTCTGGCAGGTTTACAATGTCAGCATATTATACCCAACAATATGGGTCCTCATTTTACTGACCTCAGAAGGATGAAAAGCTGAGTCAACCTTGAGTCCATAGGATTGAACTCTAGGCTGTGGGTAGAGTTTGCCTGCCATATTGCATTCTAACTGCTGCACCCCAAGGGCTCCTTAAAGAAGCATTTTCTATAATTTTTTTTCTGTTTTTTGACAGTATATATATTTATATATTTGTGGGTTTTTTTCTCTGTTTCATTGTCATTTTAAAAGCAATAAAAGACTATGTACATTTTTAAAAAAACTTCCTCTCTCTCTCAATACATCCATTGTTTTATTTGTTTCTGGTTCCCTCTAGCGTCCAACCTTCAAAATCCCATCTTATCATTTTGTTTTTCTTCCCAACACAAAAACATGGGTAGTTTCCCACAGAAAGGATTCTTTAATTTAAATCCATTTATATTAAATCCTTCTGGACCTTACCCAATTTATAATTTTCTAAAAATAACATTCCAATCATCTTTTTGCTGTTAATTAAAAAAATCATTTTTATAAATCCTTAAACACATACTTATTTTTTTTTTCATAAGGGACTCAAGAAAACTCACTTAGTGAATACCATAAAACCTGTCATTCCAGAGATTCTCAATATTTAAAAAGCAAAAAAAAAAAAAAAAAATCAAAGTGGTTAAGAAATGAAGATTGACTAAATGCTGAGTCCCAAAAGATCACATTACTACTATGAGCTTAGACAGAATCTTTCAACTCCCACCACTATATTTATTAGTTCATCAACAAAAAGATCAATTCCTGTAGCTTACTCACAAGGAATAGCTATCTTGTGTGCTTATGGGGCAATCTCAAAATCTCTCCTTTCTCCTGCCCATGTTCTGCATCCAGTCAGTAATTTCAATTGTAATGTTGTCCTTGTTTTCCAAGGACATCTTCAGTTCATCTTGCCTATGCCAGAAGTTCCCTGCTGAAAGGAATTCCTGATTTCCTTTCAATTATAATGTATTTTAACTAGGACCACCCCTCATTGATTAGGAACATCTTTCAGGAAGCATCTTTTAACTGTTTAACCTGACATGTAAAGTGTTCTGATTTAAAAAAAAAAAACTAGAGATGCCTTAAGACAATATTTTTATTGTGCGATTCCCTTGTTTTATTACAGAATTATCCAGATAATGCCTCCATCACTTCTGTTTTATCAAAGAACTTGTGTTAGAGATGGAAAGACAGAAGCTACCCGATTAAGTAGCCATTGGTATCCACCACACCCTTTAAAAATCCTTTAATTTGGCTGATTAGGAGCTGCACATAGGTAATTTCTAACTCAACAGTGCAATGCAAATACTGAACTGGGATTGTATTTGTTAAAGTCCATACCAGGTATATTAACTATATGCAGGATAAAATAGCCAAATTGACTTAAACAATTTGTTAGCCTTTATTTTATACTGATGTATAATAACTATATAGTATGAAAGTGAAAATAAAATTATTCATATAATCATCAAATTACATTTCAGGCTGAAAACAATGTATAATGAAACAATGCCATAGACCTGTTCCTTGAAAGAACAGTGGGGATTGCTTCTAATTAACTGTTAAGAGGTTTGCAAATGTGAAGATTGGCATCAGTTGTGATATTAAAAGCTTATGTTTGTTTGTTTATTTATTTATTTTGCATGGGAACCTAAGCAATTTTAAATGTTGACATTTCAAAAGATTGTTTGACATGATATACTTTTTACTTTCTTGTTTCGGTTTAAGTTGCCTTTTAGCTGCCTGAAATTAGAAGGTTGATTTTCCTTGAGCTTTTATTTACTTAGTGTGTTGCATTTCTGTTGGCCAATACACAATAAAAGACATTGTGCTGCTCATTTCTTCTCAAATATCTGCCTTGCTAAATCTTTTCTTCTCTGACATGTTTCACACAGATGAGCTTAATTGGATTCAGCTTCTCCCACGATAATCACTGCTACAGTGTTTGTGCTGCAGAAACTCCAGATGAACAAATGTATAAACCTCAGTGCAGTCTTTGTCTGGATTTGAAGACAAGAAGAAGACAATCAGGCCAAGAGTTCTACATTCTAACATTTCCTGACTTTGAATAACCTGTTTTAAAAAGTATGTTAACCCTTTAAGAGTTCAAGGTGCAAGTCTCTTGTAACTTGGTAGCTCCAGAAGGGTTGGAACTACAACTCCCAGAATTTCAGTCAATATTGAAGACAGACATTGGTATCAGCCTTTTTGTTTGCCAACCAGTCTTAGCCTGTTAGTGATGGGATTTTTAACTATAGGTACTGGACCTTTAAAAAAAAAAAAGATATTCAACATCTTAATTTAAAGTTGGTATTTTCTGTGTATCTATATATCTTTTTGTTTACTCCTTTTAGCACCACTTGAACACCATTGGCATTGACAAATTCGCTATTAGTCAACTGCAAAAGGCGGCCTTACTAGGAACCGCTTCCATCCTGCGACGATATCTGTAATACCATCGAACATCCACATCTGCCTATCCCAGGTCTTTGGTAAGGACTTGATAGGTAGACAAAATGCCAAATCCAGTCTGAACATCTGGCTGACTGTGCGATGAACCATAATAATAATAATAATAAAGTTGGAAGGGACCTTGGAGTTCATCTAGTCCAACTCCCTGTTCAGGCAGGAAACCCTATACCTTTTCAGACAAATGGCTGTCCAGTCTCTTCTTAAAAACTTCCAGTGTTGGAACATTCACCGCTTCTGGAGGCAGGTTGTTCCACTGGTTAATTGTTCTAACTGCCAGGAAGTTTCTCCTTAGTTCTAGGTTGCTTCTCTCCTTGATTAGTTTCCATCCGTTGCTTCTTGTCTCCCTTCAGGCGCTTAGAATGGTACTGTGTTTTGGCTAATGGTAAACCTGTAGATCCTAGCTGGTTGGTGATAACAACAAAACCAGAGGGTTTAAGCAAAGGCTTCGTTTAACACCTGAAGTCAGGACATTACATCCAAGGACAAGAGATACAGAGGTAAGGCAAAGATCAATAGTAGCCAAACAAATATTTTACCAGTGTAGTTTCCTGTTGGCTCAAGGACAGGTGGATAGTACATGGACTGAGTTCTGAGAAAAGGCCTCAAAAATAGGTATTAAAGTCATATACAGAAGTCTCTTCGGTGTTTATAGGATTTTCTGAAAATGCAAAAAAATTTACAAGCCAACTAAAACTGTAGATGTCCCATGTTTCAACACACAATTCACATGTTAGAATCCTTAGTGCTCCATTTGCTTAAGATATTTCATTACCTGACTAGGATACATCATAAATGCTAGTGAGTACGGAGTTTGCTCCTTATTTATATACCCTGGGAAACTGTGAGCATCCTACACCAAACAAAATCCAGAAACGCTAGAGAATTCCTGGATGCTTGACATTCAGACAAATCAGCCATCAAGAAAAACATAGAGATAAATCACATTTACATGCAATTCTAAAGAGATAGTAAAACAAGTTAAGAAGGAAACAAAAAGACCAAAATACATTCTCTCCAGCAATCAACAGACAGACAAGCAGTGATTAACACCAGACAAACAATCAAGCAGAAAACAAAACCCTAATCAAGGAACAAACAGGGAGAAAAATCGCACTTCCACCAACATCAGCAGGACAAGCCATTGTATATAAACAGGGAGTAAACCCCACACTTAACTAGCACTGATGATGTCCCCTAATCGGGTAATGAAATGTCTGCAACCAAGCTAAAACAGCACCAAGGACTTCATGGTTCAATCCTGAGCTACATATTTTCTCTTCTATTGAAAGTAGATGTTGTTGAAAATATAAAACTGTACATGCTCTGCTTTCCTGAACTGGCACTTGAAAAATGCTATATAAAGTATTAACACAGGAAGCTGCAATATGGTGAGGAAAACTGTTCGTCTAAGAACCCCTACACTGACTGGTGGCATCTCTTCTGTTTTAGATAAGAATATTTCTAACATTAAAGCCAGTCTTGTAAATATTGCCATATATGCAAATCCATTTCTCTGCAACTAATAAAGGAACTTTGCTGAGGAAAAAGTGAAGCAAAATAGCTGTGCAGCATGCATACACACAAAGAGCTTCCATGGCTATGGGCCTGGAAGATGTAGCTACTTTATTGCTTTGAAAAGAGGTGCTTCCTGTTTATTCCTGTGGATCACAAAACATTTTTTCTTAAAGATTTGCATAGCCCTATTTCCCATATCTGTAGATACTAAGAGTTGGGTACCAGACCTTAGGCATGCTGAGCTTGTTACTAACTTTCTTAATAAAGATATAATCAAATTGTTCTGTTTATTTTTGATACATGTTATTTTATTGTATGTCAGTAACATGTTATCTCCTGAACAGGAATTGAAAGGAATAAATATACATCAGTATTGTAATATATGTTAATTCCTGAGCAGGAATTAAAATGTATCTGTCTGTCTGTCTGTCTGTCTGTCTGTCTGTCTGTCTATCATCTATCACACAATCAAGAACAGATTTTAATGTTTAAAACTCTTATTCATAAACCCCACTCAGTATGAACTGAGCATAGCTTTTGCAGATTCAGTAAAAAACACATCTTCATGATTTCTTAATCAGTTCCATAGACTCCTCATCACTACTAACTCTGTACAGAAGGCTCACCCTCCCCTTGACTTTGATCAATTTTCTCGTATTTTAGACCTTGAAAGTATATATTTGGTTACTAGCAGCTTTTGCTACTCATATGGTAAAAACATCCCTCTTGCATTGTTATGTTTTTCTTTTCAGCTTCCCTCAATCCCCTTTGCACCGTTAGGACTTTGCTGTTGCTAAGCTTATGTGATCTTGGCTCTCTTCCAACATAGGTAATTATATCCTGGCTGGTCTAAAAATTCCTCCTCTGTTTCATATGGAAAAGCAGATCTTCAGTTTCTGTCCTCAGTGGTTGCTGGCTATCCATAAATGATAGAATACTCTTCCTTCTAGCATTCCAAAAGAGGATATGAATTTCAAGGCTGGTTAAATAAAGGTTCTGGAAGAAAAAAATGAACAGCACAATAGTTTGCAAGGAAAAATAATTTTCTATGAAAATCATTGCATTATATACAAATAACAGGAAGGAAGGAAGGAAGGAAGGAAGGAAGGAAGGAAGGAAGGAAGGAAGGAAGGAAGGAAGTATTCTGTACCTGAAATTCAGAGACTGTTGCTGATTTTTAGCTCAAAGCCTGTTGTTTCTTCAGCTACAAGGTGAGGAGTACAGATGACTGCTCATGAGAAGAGTGGTTGATTAATTTACTGACCAGCCCAAGAGCAATTCTTTACCTCTTGGAGTAAGTTACTTTACTTAGAAACTTTACTGTTTTTACAAGAAAAAAAAATGCATTCAGTGTTTGAAATCCTTGATATTACCAATAGACAGTCTAATTGCCTATACTAGGGGCAGAGAAGTCAGTAAGATCTAATTTCTGATCCATTTATGGGCACAATTGGATTAAATAATTTGCTGTATAATTTCCTGGTGATGTATCTTGACAATCTAGAGTCTTAGAGTCAGTCCAAACAGTGAGATGGTTAGTATATAAATTTAATAAATAAATCTTCTTATGTACTCCAAAACTTCCCAAGAACCCGAACATTAGGTCAAGACATTCTTATATTAGTTATGATACTATGAAACATTCTTAAGAGAAGAAAATACATAAAAGTACTTTTTTTAAAAAAGATGAAGAAATAAAGTATAATATATTGTTATAACAATTAATGGTTACAATTCTCTAGATATTTATCTAATTAAGTATTATTCAAGTGTGTGTATATTTACTTCTACCATAATATAAGATTATCATTCTTTTTAATCTACTGTATTTTATATAAATGAGTTCCATATTTCATTATATTTGTCCATAAAAAGTTATGTCAATAGGCAAGCTGCTGACAAGCACAATCAGGTTTTCAATTCTTTGAATAAATGGGGCCTTATATTTATCTTTTCAATATTAGTTTTTGGCCCTAGTAAAGGCATAGAGAATCCATTTACCTTGTCCAGTTGTCAGATTCCATGTAATAGGTATGTAATTCGGGAGAATCTTATTCTGTGAAAAATTTAGCTTTTTGCCGCAACAAAAATAATATTGCCTTCAATTTCATGTCCCACGATTCTAAAAAAACTGGAGTAAACCACGAAAGATTACAATATTTTGCAGATTCCTGATAACAAGCAGTATTTTTCGTTCAAATAGGCAGAAAGTGTGGTTGTCTACAAATATCTGCCTATGAAAGGTGGGACATGAAAACTAGAACCCGTTAGAGAAAACCACCCTTTTCCAGCATTGCCAGCCCTTCAAGTTCCAGCTCCCCCCCTTTTAAATCCAGATTCCACAATCACCTTCTAGTTCTAGTTCTACACTGTCCAAAACATTCAGCTCTGTATTAAGCACCATTAGTACGGAACAACAGATGAAATGACGTATAATATATAGCAGAGTTTGGATTCTTGATACCACAGGTGGTGGGATGGAGACCCTACAAGGCTTCATAAGCGGAGAAATCGATGGGCCAGAAGAGAGATCCTGAAGAAAACCTATGGCATCATGTTTTATTTCTTAGTTCTGCCAGAACTCCCCAAATTAAGGCCACAGAATGGTGGAGGGCTTATTGTGAAGAGAGGAGTAAAGTTAGAGCTATATCATCTTACTCAATAAATGATCAGGGTGAGGAATGTGGTATTTCAGATACCGAGAAACCAAGTCTCAGTAATAGCTCTAAAATGCCAGAAGCAGGTTCCACTATACCTGACTTTGATGCTGAAGTTTCAGATCTGTAATTAGAGCCAAGGCCTTGAAGGCCACTTGGTGAGAATACGTAAGATAGGGTTAGAAAGACAGAAACTAGTCTGGTAAAAAAGGAGCTGCCTCTAAGGAAGACTGATGATGACAAAATAAAGCTGCAAAACTTCAGTTGCATTTACATGAGGAATACAGGAGAGTGATATATTTAAGACTTTTTAGAAGGCTTATGCCTCACAGGAACTTTGTATTAGTGACAGCCCATTGTTGGTGCTAAGAATCTCGTCTGATTTCAGCGATTCCTTGAACTTCCCAGTTGGACTTGTTCTGTACCATAGCTTGCATCTAATCCCTTGGAATCCTGATGATGATCACCCTTTTGGAATTCTGGGTAGTATTTCTGCCTAACTTTGTAAAATTGACTATGGACTGATTTATAGTTTTACCTCCCCACTCAGCTAATATGTGAATTGATGTATACCAACTCTGTTTAACTTCCCAGTAGCATCCTGTTAAACTGTGAAACCAGGTAGGGAGATTGCTAGGCAGTTGTGTGAGCAGTTCACCAGAATTCCTGGTTCGTCCCAATTATTCATCACAAGATACAGCCACTTTAAATTTGTACTAGAAATTCAGGAGAGAGAAAGAACTAGAAATTCAGGAGAGAGAAAGAACATTTGTATAAAATACCAAAATTATCTGTTTCTCTCCAAATGCCTAGGAGAATAGAAGTAGAAGGTACGAATGATCTTCAGTTCTCAGATCCAGGTTTTGATCTTGTCTTCCTCAGTCAAACCATGGATAAGAAAGATCTTATTATTCGGGACTCTCCCAATGTAACTCATACGTCCTGACAGTGGATATTGTTAGATACACTCACTTGGTTTGTATGCTGTCAAGGAATGTTTAACTATGGTTTGCTGAATAAATAATAACTAATTAGTTTGCATCATAGTAAGCTATTAACCATGGTTTACAAATCCCACATTGCATTAAGCCAAAACCAGACAAACTATCTCATGGTTTAATGCTATGGTTGGTTTCATAGGTTATGTCATCTTTTTAACCAGAATTAGTTGAACAGATGTGATGTCTGACATACAATGCTAAGCCATTGTAATAGATAATATCATACTATCATAGTTTTATATCAACAAACCATATTATTGCTTAGCATTTTAAACTAGATTCTTGCCCTGACTTTAAAGATAATGTACAGATATCATAACTTGTATCATTGATAGCTTTCCATGAATATGTCTCTAATTCCCTTTACTACACTTTATAGTAAATTCTATGTTTTAACTTTGCACTATGCCTAAGAAAAGTTCTAGATTTAGAGGAAATGTATTACAACCAATATAGGAACAAAAGGGTTAACCCACAATCCTAATGCTGATTCCTCCCCCTTCCCCCTTGCTTTGGATTTATTTGGCATTATATCTAGTATGACATAATTTTTTCATATAATATTATGCTGTCCTTTAGATTGCTGTGTTTCTATTTATGTATAATAGAGGGTTTTCAGTAGTGTATGGTTATGTTTTAGTTTTTTTCATGCTGTTCTAAAGCTCTTCTGGGCCCACAGGCAAAAAGTGGGGTACAAATAATAGATTAGACTAATTAAAGAGCTGAACTATGTCATTGCTTAAATTGCTTAAATTACAGGCTGGAGAGGATATTAAACCTTCTAATTTTTTAGAAGCCTCCTGCAGCAACAGGCAAAATAATTTGGCTAAAACTGCAGAACCTCAGCCAACATGGCAAATGATAGCAGTGATGGGAATTGTTGTCCAATATTTCTGCAGCAGATATGATTTATATATTTTCATCACTTTTCATTTTCAACCTCTCCTATTTTACCTAAAAATTTTCACTCACTATATTATTTATATGTTTTAATATCAAAATCGTTACGTCCTAAACCAGACCATGTGGTGCTGAGGACAGTCTAGACCTAAAACACAGCAAGCAAGGAAGGAAATGAGGTAATACTGAAGAGTAGGATTCTGTTTCCAGAGAACTGATCACAACGGGATACCATATAATCGAAAGAATTTGCAGAATAAGTCCAGGCAGACCCACATTTTGCTTGCTCTTGAGGCTCACTAATTGATACTGGGCCAGCTAAGATTTCCTTGCATAGGCTATATTAGAAAGCTTCATGGAGACAAAATAGATAGTGGCCAGAGGTTTCCAAATATTTTGAGCTCCTTACAGAAAGATGAGCTATAAATACCATAACATTAATTTAATTAGAAGACAAGAGAATCTATTCTGGATTATGCATACCGTTTGTATTTACTACCTTCTGTAAAGGGAAATGCATTGGCCAGCCCAGAGACACAAATGTTTGCTGCCAGACTTGGGTGGCAAAAATCCAGATGAGCCCTAGATGGCAGCAAACAATGAAAAAAAAAGAGAAAAGACATGGTTGTCTGGATTTTTTTTTATCCCTGAGATTTGGTGCCCACTTCACATTCCTCCCCTAAAAGATCAGCATTGCATTTTCCATGTTCAAAACCCAGTAGCGCTGTCACCTTTTGGTTAAACTAATAAAACCAAACTAAAAAAATTCATTGCAGTCTTTAACCAGCACAATCGTAAACTACTGTCCTCCTGCAGGGTTGAAAGTCAGTGAAGTCTTCCAGGCTCATATGTTCATTAATGGAGATGCAATAATTCCAAAGAAAACTAAATGTTAACACAATTTTTCTGTCTTCTATTGCTAGGATTGAACCATACACTAAGCCATAATGGTTTGTGTGATGTTGACTCAGTATGTTGTTTGAATTGGCCATTGTGGATCATAAGCCAGTTTTAGGTTTAGTGTATTGTGCATGACCACCTACAATTACATACTCAACAAATCATAGTTTTTAACTCAATCATAATGTATTGCATTGCACCAGCTACAAAGATGGCCTTATTTCAGCAATGTTGTCTCTATTTGAAAATAAATAAAATTTATTTTATAGGGGGTACCTTGCTCAATAGTAGTAACTGTGAGAGGGATCTCGGAGTCCTAGTGGACAATCATTTAAATATGAGCCAGCAGCTGCCAAAAAAGCCACCACAGTGCTAGGCTGCATTAACAGAGGGATAGAATCAAGATCACGTGAAGTATTAATACCACTTTACAATGCCTTGGTAAGGCCACACTTGGAATACTGCATCCAGTTTTGGTCACCATGATGTAAAAAAGATTTTGAGACTCTAGAAAGAGTACAGAGAAGAGCAACAAAGATGATTAGGGGACTGGAGGCTAAAACATATAAGGAACGGTTGCTGGAATTGGGTATGTCTAATTTAACGAAGAGAAGGACGAGGGGGGACATGATAGCTATGTTCTAATATCTCAGGGCTGCCACAAAGAAGAGGGAGTCAAGCTATTTTCCAAAGCACCTGAAGGCAGGATAAGAAGGAACAGGTGGAAACTAACCAAAGAGAGCAGCAACCTAGAACTAAGGAGAAACTTCCTGGCAGTTAGAACAATTAACCAGTGGAACAACCTGCCTCCAGAAGCGGTGAATGCTCCAACACTGGAAGTTTTTAAGAAGAAACTGGACAGCCATTTGTCTGAAATGGTATAGGTTTCCTGCCTGAGCAGGGGGTTGGACTAGATGACCTTCAAGGTCCCTTCCAACTTTATCATCATCATTATTATTATTATTGATCATCGCACAGTCAGCCAGATGTTCAGACTGGATTTGGCATTTTGTCTACCTATCGAGTCCTTACCCAGGACCTGGGATAGGCAGATGTGGATGTTTGATGGTATTACAGATATCGTCGCAGGATGGAAGCAGTTCCTAGTAAGGCCGCCTTTTGCAATTGACTAATAGCGAATTTGTCAATGCCAATGGTGTTCAATTATTATTATTATTATTATTATTATTATTATTATTATTATTATTATTATTATTATTATTATGAAACTCAGAATATGAGATCACATAAAGGAGAAAGGGATAAAAATCATATAAGAGAAAACAGTCAGAGGTAGCATATTTTATACATTTAAAATATTATCAGAAAACTACAACGAAATTGTTGACTCGTAATGTGGTATAATGCAAAGGCCAATAGGAAGAATTTATGTGAAAGAAAAAATATTTCATTCAAATTATAAATATGATCAATAAATTAGAACAACATTAAATGTTTAGCTGCGTAGTGTTAGATGTCCTGGTTCACAGTGAACCTAAAATATCAAAGCTGCTTAGCTTTTATAATCCATTTAAGACTAGAATTTAAGCCCTAGAATGCTTCTATAAATTTTTCTATAGTGGAATTGAAAGACATACAGCAAAGTTAACATTTACAATAAAATCTTCTTCCACCCAGATTCCTGCCTTCCAACCATGAAAGGGCACTTTCTT